CCAGGGCAGGGGTGGGACACCATGAGATTTGGAGTCCCTTCCAACCCAAACCATTCTGGGATTACATAAGAGATCCCAGGCTTGTGCTGCAGTTGTGATCAGAAAATTTGAAATAGAAGTCAATTGTCATGTGAGTGAATGGAAAGAAATCCATCAGTAGAGTTTCCATTCCTCAGGAAGAGTGACAGGAAAACATGAAGGCATGGATTCAGGGATCAAGAGATCCAGAGGAGCACCAGTCAGATCCTGAGATTAAGAAAGGGCTTTGAAGGCAGCTCTAACTCACACAATCACATCTCCCATGGCTTCAACACCTGTGAGGAGGTTCAGGTTTAATTCCCAGTCCTTCCTTGAGTGAAGTCTCCTCATCCCCCCAATTCCACTATTGCAGCCATTACTCCTTCTCCTTTCAGCCTTCCCACCTCACTCACACGACCAAGCTGAGGATCCAGAAGACACTGGATCCTGTTGACTGAACATGAAGGTATCCAAACTGTCCCACCAAAACCCCTACCTGCAGCAGGACACGCTCGGGATCCACGGAGGGTGGTGTCTTCCAGGTTTGCAGCTCTTCCCAAAGGGGAATCCACAGCTGAACTCCCAAAGTTCTGCTCACGTGGGCTTTTATGGACTTTATCTCCAGGAGGCACCTCTGGAGTCTCCTCTCTGGCACTGGAGAAGACTTTCCTAGGAATCCTTTTGATAGCTTGGACATTCCCACCCTTCCTGCTTACTGGGGTCGAAAGCGCCGAAGGCAAAGGTTTGGGTGATGCCCTTCCCGTTCTCCTGCCTCCTGATTTCAGGGAAGGCACTGCAGCAGGAGCAGCCTCTGGCCCTTCCCTGTCCTTCACACCCCTGCTCTGGAATGACAATGGTGTGGAAACGCCTCTTCTCTCCAGACCTCTGCAATCCCATTCTGGCGAGGTTTCCAGCCTGGAGCCATCCCTCAGGAATATCTTTCCATCCTCAGTGGATTCTGCCCCTGCACCACTCCCCGAGGCACCGTTTGCTTTGCTGGTGTTCCCAGTATTCCCGTTTTCCTCGGGGGTTTCACTGTCACTGTCTGTGATGGAAAAGCCCAGGTCGAAGGTGACGGAGAACAGCTCCTGGGAACAGTCGTAGAGATCCTCGTTCTCCAGGCCCTGCTCGGGCACTCCTGCTGTTTCCATGGATTTACTGCTCTGGGGCTGCTCCCTGCAGGTGCTGGTGTTCACACAGGGCCCCTCGGAGGGAACCCCCCTGGATCCTCGCTCTCCATCTGTCCCGATGACATTCCCACCTGGATCTGGCCTGGCTGGAGGCTCCTCGCTCCCGGATAACCCGCTGTCCCCGGTGTCATCCACAGGCTCATCCTCAAACAAATGGATGCTCTGCTCTCCACCAGCCACCACCTTCTCGTGGTCAGTGGCAGCACCTGCAGTGTCTCTGTGCACAAAGTGCTTGTTGGAAGGGTCGTTTGTCAGGCTGTGGTTTGAGGCTGGAGCGTTCCCCTGGATGGCAGGGAATTCCTTGCTGTCAAACAGCCCATCAAAGCTGTCATTCCAGGCGTGCTCCTCTTCAACAACAGCAGCCTTGGAAGATGAGGCAGCTTTGGACAAACAGGGACTTCTTGGGGCACAGAATTCCCTGGGGATGTTCAGTTTGGGATTTTCCATGAGCAGCAGTGAAGGATCAGCTCCTGAGGACATGGAGAAGGCATTGTCCCGTGGTCCTGCAGAGGGACCCTCAGGGATAACCTCTGGGACAGGACATATTGTTTCCTCACTCCTCACCATGTTCTCCAAGTCCTCAAGTTCATTCCAGGAGGGAATGGGGGGAGGGGACTGTGACAAAAGCCTCTGCACAGGGGACAATGTTTGTTCTAAGCCAGGAGGCTCCTGGGAGGGTGTCCCGAGTGACTCCCCGTAGGATTCAGGGAGATAGAACAAGTCCGAGGACAGCGGTGATGTCTCGTACCCCGAATCCCCGGGGAGCATCCCCAGGGATCCAGGGGCTTTGCCTGCAGGTTTGTCTCCCTTGGCTGCTGGACTGTCAGGAATGTCAGTGCTGTCACTGCTGTCACACAGGTCAATAACTGCATTTAAGTCAAATGTCACCTCCAGCTCCTTGTCCCTCTCACTGCCCTGGTCAGGCTGTTCATCCAGAGCAAACGTTCCTGAGGGAGATGCCGAAGGATCCACCTCCACACTGGATCCAGGAGTTCTTTGGGGAGGCTTTGGCTTGGTTATCTTAAAGGTGGTGAAGAGTTCACTCTGGTTATCACCTCTGTCAGGCAGGAATGGCTTCATTTGGGATGTGTGTGCCACGCCTTTCCTGGAGGATCGTGCTCTCTGATCCCAGCTGGACTTGGCCATGTGGAGATGCCTCTTATTCCTTGGAATATTTACGTCCTCCACACATAGGTGGGGCTGGAGCTCCCGTCCATAGCTGCAGTCTCCCTGGGCCAAACACAGGGCAATATTTACTGGACATATCCCATCAACACACACGGGCCCCCCAGCACGGGGGATTCAAACAAGTGCCAAAGGTTTCGTTCTCCTGAAGAAATTCTCACTCACAGACTCTCAACTTCTTTTTCCCTGTGCTATCAATCCTCTGTTCCAAAGGGAACCAGCCCTTCTAAACACACCCCTGGAAAAAGCACCACGGACTTGGACACCACCCCCAGTGAGGGATCCACACAGGGACTGCCTGGATGGAAAAGCCGGTTATTTACTGCCCTTCTCACCCTCTCTCTTAAATTAAGGTTTCAAAATTAAGGCCTGCAAAGGAGCAGCAAGGGCCCAAAGGGGCTCTGAAGGCAATGGTTTAGAATGTTCCTTCCAAGTTCCAACCTGTTTCACTAATAAAAATAAGGATGTAAGAACTAAACAGAAGGAACAATCATGATATTATTATATTTTGGCAGTTCAGTGAGATGAATCCCTGGACTCCTCAAGCCCTGAAACAAAACAAGGTCCCTTGGGTGATAAAACTGACTTTTACAGTAAGAGATTCCCTGGATTATCTGCCTCCTAACAGTCCCCAAAAGTTCTGTCATATATCACATACATGTGTGTGTGGGTATCCAGATACACACACATACATGTCATATTCATTCCTTGGCAGAGCAGGAGAGCCCCAGACTACACCCCTGACTTCTGAGAAGTCTTCATTCCAAAACAGTGAAGAAAAGAACTGCTGTGAAAGGGTTAAAGGAGCATTTTGATAGGGCAGGTTCTAAATAATTCATTCCTTCAAGCTCAGTCAAAACACAGAGTCAAGGTTTGGAATTCCCTGTGTGAAATCCCAGAAGGTAACGGGGTTGGTAAGGTGTGGTCACACCGAGCTCAGGAACAGCCCAACACTGCTCAACCAGGCACCTCCAGCCCTGAGGCATCACACAAACCAGACCTGCCCTACAGGGATCAAGGATTAATGAGCTGCCAAACCACCAAAAATCAGGGAAAGAGGAGTAGGTGCTGCTCCTGCCCACCCACACACTCCTGACAGTGCCCAACACATCAGCCTTGGCCTTAGATTGTTCTGCAACACAAAATGAGTCAAACTACAAACCCCAAACCCATAAACCCCAAACTAATCAAAGGACAGACCCCAAACTTACAAACCCCAAGATAACCCAACTACAAACCCCAAACCTACAAACCCAAAACTAATCAAAGGACAGACCTCAAACCTACAAACCCAAAACTAATTAAACTGCAACCCCCAAACCTATAAACCCAAAACTAATCAAAGGACAGACCCCAAACTTACAAACCCCAAACTAACCCAACTACAAACGCCAAACCTATAAATACAAAACTAATCAAAGTACAGATCCCAAACCTACAAACCCAAAACTAACCTAACTACAAACCCCAAACCTATAAACCCCAAACTAATCAAACTGCAAACCCCAAACCTACAAACACAAAACTAATCAAAGTACAGACCCTAAATCTACAAACTCAAAACTAACATAACTACAAACCCCAAACCTACAAACCCAAAACTAATCAAACTGCAAACCCCAAACCTAAAACCCCCAAACCTACAAACCCCAAACTAATCAAGTTTCCCAGAGAAGCTGTGGCTGCCCCTGGATCCCTGGAAGTGTCCAAGGCCAGGCTGGACAGGGCTTGGAGCAACCTGGGCTGGTGGAAGGTGTCCCTGCCCATGGCAGGGGTGGCACTGGGTGGGCTTTGAGGTCCTTCCACCCCAACCCAGTGTGGACTGTGGGATTCTCACACGGAATTCGGGAGCAGTGAGGGGTGACCACACTGAGAACCCCCCAGCCCCTGCACAGCCCATGGCCATGTCCTGCCTTGGCACACCCAGCTCCTGGAGCCTGGCAGTGCCATGGCCAAATTTAGCATGTAGGGCAGAGCTGAGTGCCCTGATTGCAGCTGACAGGGCCTTATGTAACTGCTCCACTTGCAGGGGCACTCCAAGCACTGCCTCCCAAGGGAGTGCTGTGCCAGCCAGGGCTGCTGCAGGGCAAGGGCACACTGGGAATGACCACGCTGGAGCCACCACGGGCACGAGGGGTGGGACCTTAAATCACCTGCTCAGCCCCCCGGGCAGCCTGGCAGCTCCAGGGTGTACCAGCCACGCTGCAAATAGGTCAGGCAGGAGCAGCAAAACATCTGAGATTACTGGGCTGAATCGATGGCCCCGAGTCAGGTTAACAAGCAAGGCAGGTTTTAATGGAGAAAATAAAAAGGGGAAAAAAAAACCCCTTACTATATGAAATGTTTCATGTTTGAGATAGAAATCTATGTGTGATTATACACATCCTGTTTCCCAGCAATTAAATGTAAGGCAGCGACTCCCAAACCCGAAGTTCCCCTCCCTGTCCCCATGAGCTGCTCTGGGGGCACGTTTGCTAATTCAGCTCCCTGCCAGGACCCCGGGGGTTTGGCTATTTGGAAATTAGGAGAGAAGTCTGGGGGCAGATACAGTGCAGGTCTGAACAACTAAAACTTCTTTAGTGGAGAGCTGGAGGGAAACCATCCGGGGTTTCCAGCCCTCAGTGTGTTCTGAGCAAGCATGTGCTGCAGCTCAAACCCCCCCACCCCATTCCCAAAACCAGGTTTTTAAGGGAATCCTGGAACTCCAGTGGAAGGTGTCCCTGCCCAAGGAACTTGCAGGTCCCTTCCACCCAAACCAGTCCATGATTCCATGAATTCTTTATGATCAGCCTGCACTCCCTTCCCCACAAGTCCTGTTTTCCTGCTGCCCAAAGGCTCCCTGGTCCAGCCCAGTCACATCCAGGTTGGACAGTTTGGTGCCCTGGGATTCACCTCCCTCACAACAGGCCAGCACTTATTTACACCTGCCAGGAGCTGCTTCATGAGCACAATAATCAATCCCTGGTCCAGCACTGCTTCATTTCCACAAGACACTCCAGGGGAAGAAACGCTGTCAAAAGCTGTTTTTTGGAAGTTTAAGTAAATTACATGAGATGATCTTTAAAAATATATTTAGCTGAGTCATGGAAGAAGCCTGAGGGGCACAGAACCCCCAGTTTCCTTCCACGAAAGCTGAGATAATTCTCTTCCTGATGGTATCACATCATTGATGTATCTACTAATTCTGTTGCTTTTTGCTTTCAGCTACACAATAAAAACACCCAAAGATCCCTAAAAAGAAAAATTATTAGCAAAATACAGGGTATGTACCCTGCAAATATGGGAACAGGTATCACTGAAGAGGCTGAAGAAGTGAGAGTGAATGTTCCAGCACATCAGGAAATAAATTAGGTTGCCCAGAGAAGCTGTGGCTGCCCCTGGATCCCTGGAAGTGTCCAAGGCCAGGTTGGAGCAACCTGGGCTGGTGGAAGGTGTCCCTGCCCATGGCAGGGGTGGCACTGGGTGGGCTTTAAGGTCCCTTCCAACCCAAACCATTCCAGGATTCCACTCCCTGAGCTTACAGCACTGCCAGGCCAACACTAAAACCATCATGAGAACAGGAATATTCCAGGCAGGAGCAGTTCAATATTCTACATAAATGTGATTATCATCAAGGAATCATGGACAGTTTGGATGGCCAGGGCCTCCCCACCCTCCCAGCCAGCAATTCCTTCCCAATATCCCACCTATCCCTGCCCTCTGGCAGTGGGAAGCCACTCCCTGTGTCCTGTCCCTCCATCCCTTGCCCAAAGTCCCTCTCCCTGTCAAAACATGAATACTATTCCCAAAGCCATTTGTTTTACAGCAGCTCCTGCCAGAGTCCCAGGACTGTCCTGGAATTGCCAGCTCCCACTTGGCACATTTCCTGTCAAAGCCCTGCAAATCAATCTGCTCTAAAAGCTTAAGGAACAACCAACCAATTATTCACATTTATAAACATTTTGACAGTTTGAAAAACAACAGAGAAGGATTTTAAACCCAGCAACCAAAATGCAAAGTTACTGTACCCACCCAGCCATCCCTAAACTCACCAAATAACAATGGGACAAACCCCAAAGGCAACAGCAGGAGAACCCACACCTGCTGTGCCACAGAGCACCTGCAATCCAAGGCCTGAACAACCCAATCCAGGTCTCAGTTAATGCTCAGACTGAAATCATTTGGCAGCCAGGTCAGAAGAATCAGTATAGAGAAACTCTCTGAACTGGAGAGTTGAGATTTTGGGGCTCACAGGTTCTCCCAGCTCACCCTCCAAACCCAAACCAAACTCCCTCCCACCTTGTCTGAAATTATTTCTTGCTGGGGCAGAATCCTTTCCCTCCCTCAGAAGAGGATTTTAGCCAAACTATTGGCAAGGGGGGTCTTAAAAAACCAGGTGAAACTATCTCATTGTCCTTATTTGAGCCATTTTTAACTCTGCATTCGGGGGCTCCTGAGAAGTGAAGTCCCAGCTGGCTGGAAATGTTGTGTTTTCCCCCCAAAACCCGTTGGATTCAGAGCTCCCAGAGCATGGGAAGCCTTTCCAGGTTCAATGGGGTTTTGGGTCTCCTGGGAATGTTTTCCCTGCTCTCAGGGGGTTCAGCTGGAGAGCCCTGGGGGCAGCCCAGGACTGATGACAAATGACACGTGACTCCAGTGGCAGCTGTTCCAGGTTCATCCTGGGCTTGGAAGAGGTTTCCCAAGGGGTTTTTGAAGTGGAAAACAGAGACAAAACTCTGATGGGAGAATCCAGGATCGTTTGGTCACTGAGTTCCCACTGCCAGCTTTGGACTGGGAAACATCCAGTCACCCTCCCACTGTAAATTAGAATTAATGACCAATAAAATGCAGCATTACCTGTCTCCCAGGAAAAACCACAGCTCTCCACTTCCCTACTCCCTGGCCCTCACCCTTGGGAGCTCAGACAAATACCGTTCCCATAAAAAGGATTACTCTGCCCCAACCTTGTTTCCAAACAGCACGGTTTCATTTTCAGAAAATGCTTAAAAGAGATTGAATTATTTTGCATAAGGACAACTTGATTGGTTCCCTTGTCACACCAAAAATCCCCCTGGGAGTAAATCCCCCCACCTGCCCCTGTGCTGCTGCAGGAGTAAAGCCCACGGGTATTAAAGGCTTTGCTGCAGTGGATGTCCCTTTTCCAGGGATCATATTTGGGGTTTCTTTGACTTTTTTATTTTCTTTTCACTGGGCCAGCATCTTCTCTAAGTTTTTAAGAGCATATAAATACAATATAATTTTTTCCCAACCATTTTTACTTCATCTATTTTAAAAACAAGCCCTTAAATTGACTTTTTTTTGATCTGTTATGCAAAAAACTGTTTCTTGAATCATTGAATGAGAACAAGGAAAGGAAAGCCAAACATCAGTAAATTTCTGACTGAATTTCTTCTCTAATAGAAAAAAAAAACCCACCCAAAACCCCTCACAAATACCTCCTGAGCTGGCTCCTGTTGTGACTAATCTGACTGAGCTTCTGCCCAAGAAATAATTTCATCAGAACCTTCCCGATCATTTGGTTACTCACAGGAACATTTAGTGCCTCAGTAAATAAATAATCAATAGACCTGTTTGAGGTTCACTATCCCAGGTATTTAAGGAAACAGCTCTGACCTTATTGGTCTTTATCCCTCTGCTATTAAGCACCACAAATAAACAGCAGCCAGGTCAGCTGGGTACCTTTAGCCAGGGAATATTTATAGCAGGAAAACCTGGATGCACAGCACATCCACACCAACCCCTCAGCCACACAGCCCTGGAATGCTGTGGGTTGGGAGGGACCTTAAAGGTGATCCAGTGCCACCCCTGCCATGGGCAGGGACACCTTCCACCAGCCCAGGTTGCTCCAACCTGGCCTTGGACACTTCCAAGGATCCAGGGGCAGCTTCTTTGGACAACCTGGGCCAGGGCCTGCCCACCCTCCCAGCCAGGAATTCCTTCCCACTATCCCATCTCTCCCTGCCCTCTGGCAGTGGGAAGCCATTCCCTGTGTCCTGTCCCTCCATCCCTTGTCCACAGTCTCTCTCCATCTTTCCTGTAGCCCCTTCAGGTCCTGCAAGGCCACAATCAGGTCACCCCAGAGCTTCTCCTCTCCAGGCTGAACAACCCCAACTCTCCCAGCCTTTCACTAAATCCCTGTTAAACCAGTTGTTTTTCCATCCACTTTTCACACAGGACTAACATATTAGGTAGATTTCTTTTTTTTTCAGGCTTCATTCCTGCTCGAGGGAGATGCCCCAGAGGCTGGAGGAACATCCCTTCCTGCTGCTCAGGTGATAGAATTTCTCCCACCCAGCAGAGTCAGGAATGCAGCCAGGACAGACCCAACTATAGGAAGATGCCTTGGTAGGTGTGCAGAAAATGAAACATTGCCTAAAAATCCCTAAATTTCTTTACTTTTGCCCTTCTTCTGAAGTTTTAATTAATACTTTTTTTTCTAAGAACAAGCCCTCTAGGAAAAATAAAAAAAGAATACAGTAGTTATCAAGGCTCCCCATGGGGCCAGCCATGGGCTCTGTGCCAGAACCAGCTTCGGGAAAACCTTCCCTAGTTCTTTTAAGATCCTGATGGGAACAAGTTTATCTGTAACCCAGGAGCAGTGTGGGTGCCCACGGGCAGGAGCCACAGCAGGACAGTCCCCAGCAGCCCAGGGACAGGACTGTTCTCCTCTCTCCATCCCCTGATACACCCCCTGGGCACAGCTGGGTCTGGTTCTGGGCCCCCAGGACAAGGAATATTCTGGGACTGGAGCAAGTCCAGCAGAGGCAGCCAGAAGGGTCACAGGGCTGGAGCACGAGGAGGGAGGAGAGACAAGGGAGCTCTGTTCAGTACTGCAGGGATCTGCTCCCCAGCTGTGCCAGGCTGGGAGCAGGGAACACAGAGCCCACTCCTTGGAGGGGTCTGGGGGCACCTGATGGGCACAGCAGCATGGAATCCTGGAATGGGCTGGGTGGGAAGGGACCTCAAGCCCA